AAACTAATAAATTATTTATTTGTAGTGAGCATTGGATGTTGATGGCGATTTGTCCTCGACTAAATGAAATTTTTTGGTTTGATTCACTTGGTCATGGGCCGCGTGAAGACATTAAACATATAATGGAAACGTCTGTAAATTTATATAATTAATTAGTAGTTATCATTAAACTAGTGATGCCAAGTATTTATATATATTCTATGTCTTATATTAATAGGTGTATGACTGCAACAAACATGATGAGTGGAAAGAAACAAAATCGTTCACCAAAATGGACTATATGTTCGGTAAGTACTTCATTCACTTTGTAAAACATGCAAACTTATTGTTTTTTTTTATTAATTTATTTTATTTTTATTGTAATTCAATGTAGTGTGCTATACAAAAGGGAACCACCGAATGTGGTTATTATGTGATGAAGTTCATGTTTGAAATTGTTTCCAACAATCTAAGCAAAGGAATGGATAAGGCAAGTAATTTCTTAATATATCTTTTGGCTTCAAATGTTTAAAAATACTTGCTTATTTATTAATTTTATTTCTTTTGAACTTTGTAGGCTTTGGAAAGACAATGAAGATTGCCCTACAACAAAAAAGAGATTGATGAAGTTAGAGACAAATGGTCTAAGCTTCTTATTGATGAATGGGTTAATAAAACGCTTCTTAGTTGATACTTTACGTTTAAAATTAGTTTATGTTTATTGGCTTAATGTTTAGTAGTTTTGTTGAATTGTGGTACTTATATTAGTTTTATGTTTAGTAGCTTGAATTAGCTTAATGAATTGTGTTCTTTATATTAGTTTCATGTTTAATAGTTTGATACTTTACGTTTAAAATTAGTTTATGTTTATTGGCTTAATGTTTAGTAGTTTTGTTGAATTGTGGTACTTATATTAGTTTTATGTTTAGTAGCTTGAATTAGCTTAATGAATTGTGTTCTTTATATTAGTTTCATGTTTAATAGTTTGAATTAGTTTAATAAATTAGTTGATGTTGAATGTTGAATGTTAAATTGCTAGTTGCGCAGGGTTTGAAAATTGATACAGGTGGGGTAGAAAACATAAAACGCATATAAATAAAAATAATAATAACATACGGCGTCGGTTTTTAGGTAAAAACCGACGCCGTAGGTTAATTATTATTTTTTTAAAAAATAATAAATATATACGGCTTCGGCTTTTAGGTAAAAGCCGAAGCCGTATATATTTATTATTTTTTAAATATATATATATATATATATATATATATATATATATATATATACGGCGTCGGCTTTTACCTAAAAACCGACGTCGTAGGGTAATTATTTTTTATTTTTTAAAAATAATAAATATATACGGCTTCGGCGTTTACTTAAAAGCCGACGTCGTATGTAAATTATTTTAATATATATATATATATATATATATATATATATATATATATATATATATATATATACGGCTTCGGTTTTTAGGTAAAAGCCGAAGCCGTATATTACATACGACGTCGGTTGTTCAACCGACGTCGTATCATTTACTTACGACGTCTCTTAAGACGACGTCGAAAGATAACCGACGTTAAATGGGGTATTTTAACCGACGTTAAAACCGTTTTCTGTAGTAGTGCCAATGTATTAAAAAGATATAACACCTGATATGTTCTTAATTGCGCATACATGCATTTCTTCTCAACTTTGGATCGATTTTTGGGTGTAATTGCATTAATTCCTTATCTTTATTGCATATTCCCTTGGTCTTTAATCAAAGTATGATCTAAATATCTAATGCATGAACTATTGGATCGGAGAGCAAGTATTGAAGCAAGAGAATGATTGGAGCAAACTCGATGGCCCAGGGTTGAAAGATGGAAAATGGCAATTTTGTTGGTCTCGATGACAAGTAAAAGTTAAGACATGGGTTGAATAAATCGGTTTATATAAAAATTTTGAATTTCTCTAGCATATAAAAAGTGTGCACAACAAAAGTTTTTAAACTTGTAAAGAATTTAAGAAAAAGCTTTGTAGCTTTGTTGGTTTCGAACGCATAAGTGTTTGTGTGTGTTTGGATGATTTGTTGATAGATTAATAGAGTAGTATAGAGAGAATGTGTTTTTTATAGCAGTTCAGAAAATTCTTCACTTCACTCTTTTCATATATATACACTAGAGGATCGAATTCACTATATATGTATTGTTACAAATACACATGAAAAGCGTTTCACAAAAATCAACCACCAAATCCCCTTGTTACTAGCTCAAACTCCAAGTCGTCTGAACAACATAATCACCCCTAGCTATCGTTCTTCACTATTTGACTACTTCACTACATTTATCTACCACAAAGTCCCTTTAAGTATAGAATCTCAAACACTTCATGAATGAATGCCATTATAGGTTGGTGTCACTGCATTTCTCATGGGATTTTTAACTTTGACGCTAAAATGATAAATATATAATTGAATAAATTTGATAGATTATTAGTTACCGTGAAAAAAAATTATACCTCCTCTAAGTGAGATTTACTTTCTATGATTTGAACTTTCCTAAGTCAAAAGATTGCACCAAAAATGAAAATAATTTTTTAACAATTTAAATTTTTAAAAAAGTTTTATTATTATTATTATTATTATTATTATTGTTGTTGTTGTTGTTGTTGTTGTTGTTGTTGTTGTTGTTGTTGTTGTTGTTGTTGTTGTTGTTGTTGTTGTTGTTGTTGTTGTTGTTATTGTTATTGTTATTATTATTATTATTATTATTATTATTATTATTATTATTATTATTATTATTACAATGGTGCAACTCAGAGTTTGCAGTTGCTTGCCTGCAAAGCCAACATTATTGTGGAAATTCCTAAACTACATTTAACCGACAGAGCTTTGATAAGAATCAAACTCCTAACTTTTATTTTACCACCAAATGATGTGCATTAAACTAGTCTAGGTTATTTATAGATTGTCAGTTCAAACCAATAAGACCAATAGCCAACTCCCACTAAGAGTCAAACTTCTAACCTTCTATTAAATAAAAATGTTTGAATTAAAAAAAAAAAACCACAAAAGAATTATCAAATTTTATATAGTTCTTTTCTTTTTTTTTTTTTTTTGAAAATAGAATTTTATATAGTTCTAATATCATGTAATAATAATTATTTTCTTAAGATAAAAAAATAATTAATATAGCAAATAATCCAATCGTTATATCCTACACCACGGCGCGCGTAGCACTGTGCGCCACGCGCCTCCCAAAACGACGTCGTTTTGGGATCGTTTTGGGAGGCGCGGTAGGAAGTTGCTGTGATTATGTATATTTGTTCACACAATTATGTATATTTGTTCATACAATTATGTATATTTGTTCATACAATTATGTATATTTGTTCATATAGTTATGTACATTCTTTTTATACAATTATGTACATCCGAATCAGAACATTTGTGTGTATTATGTTAAAAGTTGATGTGTATTATGTTAAAAGTTTATGTTTATTATGTATTATGTTAGATTATGTGTATTATCTTTTAAAAAGAGTATGTATATTTTGTTATATAATTATGTACATTCATGTATACAATTATGTGTATTTTAGTATAACATTATGTACATTTTTGAACAGGGGTTTTTTTTAAAGAAAAATTAACTGTCATACACTGAGGCGGGAAATTTCAAAAAAAAAAAAATTAAAACGATGTCGTTTTACATTTGGACGCACAGTGCAACACGCGCCGTGGTGTAGGATATAAATTGCCCAAATAATCATACATATACATATGGACTCTTGACAATTGGGCTAGACAATAGGCCCTCAAGTGCCTTCCAGCCTATAATAAATATTCATTGCAGAGATTTTGGCCCGGGTTGGTAAAATACAATCGTTATGCTGTAGAATCGTGTCCATCTTACAAGGTGGATACGATTCTATGTTAATAATTACTGAACTATATGTTCAATATTATAAAGTTATATATTTATAATTTTTTAACTTCATATTTATAATTATTGAACTCTATATTCACAATTACAAAACTCTATGTTAATAATTACTGAACTATATGTTCATAATTATAAAGCTATATATTCATAATTTTTAAATTTCATATTTATAATTATTGAACTCTATATTCACAATTACAGAACTCTATGTTAATAATTACTGAACTATATGTTCATAATTATAAAGCTATATATTTATAATTTTTAAACTTCATATGCACAATTATTAAATCCCTATATTCATAATTACAGAACTATATGTTCATAATTATGATCACAACTCTATGTTCATAATTATAGAACTATATGTTCATAATTTTTTAACTATATATTCATAATTATGAACAGTTTTGGAACCGTGTCCACCTTGCAAGATGGACACAAATCTACATAATTTGCCGGTAAAATAGTTACCCTATAGGCCAATTTTAATTTATTTGACCACTATGAATTTTTTGATTTGGTTAAAAAATCAATACAAAGTGTTTGATTAATTAACTTTTTGTAACTCCAAAATGCTAAAATTCAAAAAGCTGTCCAAAACAATTTTTTAAATTGACCTTTTTTAAAAAAGAATTATACCAAACAACTATGAGCTAACAACTAATTTACCAAACACTTTTCTAAAATCAATTAATGTTATTAACTAATTATACTCTAACACCTTTCTAAAATCAATTAATGTTATCAACTAATTATACTCTCTAATTACTCAATAAGCTAACCGCTAATATCAATCATTGACCAAAGAGGGCCTTTCTCTTCTAAAAGGTCAAACTTGAAAGGTAATATTCTCTCATTTCTCTGGAGGTTTAACAAATAGGGGTTTAAGAGCAGCCATGGAAAACAATTCCTCCACTGCAAACCCAAACCCTAGCCAGCCGATCGCAATGTCTCCGTCAAAATCCGTACAAAGCGAGGCCAGCCCAGAAACGGAAACCCCAGAACCCGATGCCCCAATCAGAGAATCCTCAGATCCCCCGCCGGAGAAGAGCGATCAAGAATCCCAAGAGGAAATTCAAGAAGAAGGGGAGGAAGAGGAGGAGGAAGGGGAATGCGGGTTTTGCTTGTTCATGAAGGGGGGAGGGTGTAGAGACCCCTTTATCGAGTGGGAGAAGTGTGTGGAAGAAGGCGAGAAGAACAAGGAAGACATTGTTGAAAAATGCTTCGAGGTCACATCTGCTCTGAAGAAGTGTATGGAGGCGCACTCGGATTACTATTCCCCAATTTTGCAGGCGGAGAAGGCTGCTGAGGCCGAGGCCCTGAAGGAATTGGAGATGGAGAAGGAGAAAGCGGACGAAAGTAATTCTGAATCAGGATCGACAGTAACGGTGGGAGATTCAGAGAGTTCTGAGAAAAAGGAGTCTTGACTTTGGTAATCAAAAGAATTGAGCTTTTTTTGTTATTATTTTTTCCAGCTATACATGATTTTGATCAAGAGAAAGTTATGGATATTACAAAGCTTATTACTAACATTGATATTCTCAAATAATCGTGTCGAGATTAACCAAATTTATGGATTCATATGACTCTATTTTGGAATCAATTACCACATTTTATCAGCTTCATAGATTCCCAGTTTTTTTTTTTTTTTTTTTCTCAGCTTGGTATGTTTGATTTGATGGTTTCTGATAATCATGTGATGGATGTAGGGTTTTGTAGCAGGACAGATTTGAATTCAAGCTAAAAATGTTGTGTTGTACTGTTTAGATACCAATAAAGTGCATAATTCAAACTGTGAGTTGTTGTCATATGTTTTGCTATGTTATGGTTATGAAGTATTTATTTAGTTAAGTGATTTTGGTCCATTGTTAGAATTAGGTTCAGTGGCATGGCATGCTAGTGCTTTCCCGAGTGAATCGACTTCTTACTGTTCGGGAACTTGAATGGAATCAAGATTCTTGACTGGAATTACTCGTAGTCAGACTCGATCACACTTGCATAGTAGATTAGCAGGTATAGCTGTTTTAGTTTAGCAGTGGAATTAGGTTTAGAAATAGGGGTATGTACGGGTTAGAAGCACATACATATGAACATACATGTTGTATTTGCACACAGACATATCTTCGGTATTCCACTTCCATGTAGAGCAGATAACTCCATTGGGGTGCGAGAATTTACGGTTTAACTTCCATGTAGAGCAGATAACTCCATTGGGGCGAGAGAAGTTATGGTTAGCTCTAGGGTTACAGCGGTTTTCTTGACAGCATAATGAGTCTCATTTTATAGGGCATGGTTGTTGTGTTGTTTGGAGTTTTCTTTTGAGTGTGGATATTGTTTGAAAGGTGAAGCCATTGTTGCCCTTTACAATTGCTTTGGAACCATTTTATGTTTTATTACCCGAGTTAATTCCAGCAATGGTCCTTCGACTATTGCCATTTTCCAAAATTGGTCCTCGACTTTTTATTTGGACGAAAAAGTCCGTCTGTTAGCCATTAGTTTAGGGGGCAAATTGGTCTTTTCATTAGCTTGCTTTCTTTTTCCTCATTGCCTAGCTTATTTGACGCAGAGAAAGCAATTGGTCAGCCAGCACTTGTGAGACTCTTGCTTGCATATAATTTCAGTGTGTAATATTCTTAACAATTAAAAATTGGAATTGCGATAGATCATAGATGTCTTGTGTTGCTTTATCTTCTCTGATTGAAACCATTGAGATTGAGTTTGTGCAACCCACCTCAAGGGTGTATGGTGGTGATGTAGCTGCAATGTTATCTGTTTTCTCCAAAATTGCGGCAGAGGTTTTCCAGATTATCAACAGAGAAAAAGAGCATGAGAAAGAGAGGGAGAGAGTGAGGGAGGTGACTTGTGATGTTTTAACTTCTCTCAGGAAAACAATTGATCAGATGGAGTACATAATATCAATGCAGTCTCTTCATGATAAAGATAAAGACAAAGCGGGAATCAAATCTAATTTATTGGAAAAGCTTTCTTTTTTGCAACTCTCTAGTTGAGTGTCTTTTTCATCCAAATTAAAAGTCGATGACCAATTTTGGAAAATCGCAATAGCCGGAGGACCATTGCTGGAATTAACTCTTTATTACCCTTTCCCCTTTCATCCAATAGCTCTAGCATTTTTACAAGTTTGGCTTATGAAGGTGTTGGGGCATGAATAGATTGTTTTTTTTTTTTTTCTTTTTTTTTTTCTCTCTCTTTCTTTACTATACTTCGAAACATGTCACCTTTGAACGCATATGTATACAACAATGCTCTTTAGGGAGTTGTAGTCCCAAGAGCTCGACTAGATTAGTATCATCTTGCATTTGAACTCCGTGTGTATATAACAACACTCTTAGAGAACTGTAGGGCTCAATTGAGTCTCAATTGGATTAGTGTCTTCTCGCATTCAAACTCAATGTGTGTGCATACAGTAATGTTCGTGACAAAATTGTTAGGGCTCAATTGAATTTCAATTGGATTAGTATCATCTTGCATTCGAGTTCCCTTATGTATACAACAACGCTCTTGAGAGAATTGTAGGGCTCACTTGAGTCTCGATTGAATTAGTGTCTTCTCAAATTTAAACTTCATGTATATGCAACAATATTCTTGAGAGAACTATAGAGATCAATTGAGTCTTAATTGGATTAGTATCATCTTGTATCTGAATCCCCTATGTATACATCAACGCTCTTGAGAGAAATGTAGAACTCAATTGAGCCTCAATTGGATTAGCGTCTTTCAATTAAGTTTCAATTGGATTAGTATCATCTTGCATTTGAATTCCATGTATATACAACGCTCTTGAGAAAAGAATGCAAAACATTGAATTAGTATTACATGCTTTCATTGCTGCTGCAGACAACAAACACTCATGTTTATTACAATGAACCACAAATGAAACCTGCATTTCACTGAAGCAAGAAAAGACATTACATATATGATCCAAATGAATGAACAAATCCTTGGAAGCCGCATTAAGCACCCCCTACTATCTTCCTCTTCTTTCTTTCATTTCCACGGTTTCCTATCGACATAACTTATTGCGTACAAACCAATCTTCAAATGCCACGTTACATACCGGGGCATTTCTCTGCCATTAAACTCAAGCTTCACTGTGTCTCAATCGTTCTGTGAATGTTGCTAACCACATTGTCACGAGTTCACCATGGTAAATGCATGTGCAAGTCTGTGAAGCTTAATATTAATTAGTCAGACTTGGCTTACCCGAACATGTATTTCTCGACTGTAAGGACCTAATAAATTATAACAAATGCCCTTGCTCGCTTGCAGTTGAATTATGAGGAGCTAATAAGTCATCACAACTCGCGCCTTGACATAGGCACTCGTGAGGATTTGCGTAGAAGTAATCTTCTTCTTTGGGCTTGTCTACAATAACCCTACGGCGAGCTGGTTGCCCCATTTTCCCTTGATGTGCCTGCCGCACTGCAGCTGAGAATCCATCCCACGAAAGTGTTTGATTCTGATGCATATCCAGTAATCCTACGAGCTTTTTACGATCCAGTTGGATGGTTTTCCTATACCCAAAATACCTGCACGGGATCTCATCAGGGATGTGCACAATGATAATTTTTACTAGCGTTAGAAAGACAGAATGTTTATTATCAATCATACCTACGATGACCTTCAACAACTTTCGCCATATTTCCATCATAAGTGGGAATGAATGTATTACTAGCAACCGACACTATGAAATCGAGGGCTGCCATTTGGGATGAATGATCCTGGAAATCATGCAAGTCACTGGGATCAAGCAAAGTTTCCTTTTTCACCTGCAATTACAATTAGGGGGGAAAAAATTGTAATTCGATGGAAAAAGAATAAGGTGGGAATAAAGTAGGAATTCAAATTACGTTGTTTAGCAGGGGAAATAGAATTATGGGAATTGAGAAGGAAATGGGTGGTATAAAGACTAAAATACCCTTGTGTAATAATAACCAAGGGTAGTAGTGTCATTTCATCTATTTTTCCTTTCCCACATCCATTGAATTGCAATTCATGGGGTACCCCCATGAATTGCAATTCAACAAAAGGAGGAAATTGCAATTCCGTCCAACCAAACAATGTAATTGAGGCCTCCATTGAATTCCAATTCAACTACAACTAAATTACAGTGAACCAAACAAGCATTTAAGGGAGAAGTGAAAATTCATTGCAAGAGCCATGGTAATGCAGTGCATTTGACAAGCCTCACCCGAAATGCCACACCAAGAATGGGAATAAGATACAAGAAAACACTAATCACTTACCGTCTTAGGAAAAGCAGCTCTTAGTGTGGCAAGCCTTCGTTCACCGCCATAAATCTCGCCCGATGCAATATATATTAGTGTGTCATTTCCAAAACCCAATGCTTGCATAATTAAAGCTGCCTCCTCTGGGGTAAGAGGACATAAACCTTGAGATCTCTTCTCTGAAGAGACTATCTCTTTCTCCCTCCACCGAGGGAATGCGTACCTGAACCAATAAAGGAGCGCTAAAAGTATTGTCATGCCACCGAACTTGTATTTTCTTGAATTCATTTTATAAATACAAAGACAAATAAGGCAACTTTTTTAAATAAGTTGAATCTCAATGTGTATCACCTCAATTGTTTGAGCTCCTCTGCTTCCTCCTCTGTGCAGCCATGGGTACAACCTGAAAAGGCCAACATGTCTTTCTCGTATCTTAGATGCAATGCTACGAATGGCCCCTTCCCTTGGAGAATGTGAACCAATTTCTGACCCAAAGCCTCAATTTGCGGGGTGAATTTCAGTCCATGAAAATTGACACGGCATCGAAGTCTCTGAAGTTCAAAAGGGATCCCATTGTTTGCAAGCCGTGCATCAGTCCTATTGAAGTGTATTACCTTGTGCTTGCTGAAAAGAGGCAGAATCTGCAGAATGAAAGTCCAATACATTACATCAGGAAACTAACTCCGTAAGAAGAACAAGCCAAATATATGCTTCTTTATCTATATGAAATAAGTGGATAAAGCTCAAAATGATAAAGGAGAAAAGGATATCCTTCTTTCAGAAGTTGATATGTGCAAAATTGCAAAATTGCCACAACTAAACAAACGTTCTGAATAGTGATCAACTATTAATTGTTGCAATCCCAAGAAGAATCAACAATTCATGATAATTCATATATGTGTGTGTGGCTAGTGACAAAAGTTGAGCACTATAAGCAATCTTTTTTTTGGTACTACTGACTATTACAATGCAGTATCTGTTCATAACTACTTTCTCAACCTACTGAAGCTCAAAGAGTCAATACGGCCTCCACTGAGGCTTGAACCCACAACCTCTCATATCCTACTGAAGCAATCCTATTTTTTCAATGTTGAAATGTGCAAATTGACACAATTAAAAAAATTTCTAAGTAGTGACCAACTAATAATTGATTCAATCATCTATTCATAACTATGCACTACTGACTTGAGTGATAACACTAGAAACCCAAAAATCAAGACATACATGTTCAAGATAGTATTTTTCATTAGACCAGCTAATAGGGGGCATGGCATGCGGTTGGTATCCAGATCTCCGGCCAAACCTCTTCGGCAGCCTCTTAACAATTCGAACTTCATCTCTTAGCGAATCAATGAAGTGTCTCACATCAAAAATATCTCCAAAGTTGCTGTAAAGGAGAAACTAAAAATCATTCTAATGCATTAACTATAACGCACAAAACTGCTTTTATAGAAGTCAATTACCTAGAATCAGCCCAGAATGATGCCTTATCAAGCTCCGGAACAACCAAAGTGAGGTTTAAAAACCGGGCAATTGTCACCATGTCACATATCTGCATACCAAATTCATTATGTCACTCTTTGAATATTTTTGCACACAAAAGATTAGGAGATTGGAGGAAAATTCAGTTCAAATCTGAGCAAAACAATTTTCTTTTTCTATAAGCAATAATCAATTTCAAAGACAGCTGAAAGTATTATACTCAAACAAAGAGAGCAAAGGAGCAACTACCAACCGCAGCACGCATTTGATTCAAGCCACCATTGCAAGAAACTGTAAGAAAACCATTGCTCGTATAATTCCCTGCATAACAGTATATATTGGCATCTTGCTGTAGTAGAAAGTTATTCAAGCTAATCACACAAGTCTAACTCCTTTAAATTAAACTGAAATTACCAAATAATTTTACAGGAAAAGATTTTCACAAAAATGTATCTATTTCTGGAGTTTTTTTTCTTTTGTTACTTGCCTAGAGAATAGGAGTATAATATGCTCACCCATGCACTTATGAACAAATTACCTACCATACTATAGGAGTAAAGGCCACTATACTTCTCCATATACTGATGTACGGGTTCAAACAGAGTTTTTCGCACGTTTGGTCCCACGACTATAGTGGCACTATCAAGATTGACCCACGACTTTCAAACCTTGCAATCTCGGTCAACGACTATTGTTTTTTTTTTTTTTTTTTTTTTTTTTTTTTTTTTTTTTTTTTGTAAAAACGGTCCTTCGGCCCATTTTCCATCAAGGACCGGAATAATCATGGACCGAGATTGCAACAAAAAAAAAAAAAAAAAAAAAAAAACAATAATCGTGGACCGAGATTGCAAGGTTTGAAAATTGTGGATCAATCCTGATAATGCCACTATAGTCGTGGGACCAAAAGTGCAAAAACTTCGGTTCAAACACCTATATTGAAGAAATTTCTTCTATTATACAACAGTTCCTTCTATGTCACATTGTCCCTGAAGGGAAACCAATCAGAACTAAGAATATGTTTTTTTTTTTTTTTTTTCAATTTATATACTAAAGTTCCACTGGACTCCAAACCTTAACCTGCATTTCCACAAATTAGCACGAAGTACTAATCAATGGACTTCATTTAGCCCTAATAATCAGGGATCATTTGAACTAAATTACAGAAGCTTCAAGTTTCAAAACTAGACAACACCTCAACTAACCAACTTCTCAGCACATTAAATACACAATCCAAAAAGCAGGATAAGCATGCATTCAAAGAACAAATCAGAAACAAGTTGAGAGTTTAACTCACTAGCGGGAGGAAGAGGCGGAGGTGGAGGCGACGGCAACTTATCCTCAATCCGAGCCGACAGCTTAGTAAGTCCGGCGACGCCGACGAGCGAGCGCGGCCGCCAGAACTCCGCCAAGGCAACGAGCTGAACCAAGCAGGTCCATATCAAAATACTGGAACAAACTCTGATGAACCACACCCGTAGCCGCGTCCGCTGGATCACCTGCAACGACGCCATTTTCTCACCGCTCCTCCCCTGCACCGACACACTCTCCGATCTGCCCGCCTCCATTTCTCCTCCCCTTCTTCAGTCCTCATTCCCGAATCAAACCGAACATTCCATACATCCAATCTTCCGTAACTGCATCAGTGAATCCAAAACCCTTATCTAGAGTATAATTACTTCAATTTTGATTCCGAAACGGGAAATTGGGGAATCTGTCGAGAATCGAGGAGAAGAAAAGGAAAGCAATAATTTAAGGACAGTAGTCAAATTAATAATTTTATCTTTTTTACTGTTGTGAACAGAATTTTTACTCCGTACTTCTCTGGTCAACCTTTTTATATTCAATTTTTTTTTTTTTATTTCATTGTTCAGGGCCTTTGTACTATTTATTCATTTAATTTAATTTATCTGAATGAGAATATGAAGATACATTTGCTAAATTCACAAATTAGTCATCGATTTTCAATTTCAACAAATTAAGTCTTTAATTTTGTAATTTTAATACAATTTGGTCATTTATTTATTTAACTGTTTGTTGACTGTGATTTTTGAGGATATATATGTACTTTCATGATCCATAGTCGGTTTTTTAAGGTTTCGGTTGCATTTCCAGACCGCACTGTTACATTCGACTCCACTCCCGAAAGCAATCTACCAAATTCGGTCGCCTTTCTTCATCCTCCCTTTGGATTCAATGTAGTTGAGTTCGTACCAGAGCAAAGAAGACGACGTGTTTCCGAACCGGTGCAACATTATCCTGGAGGCCTCCACGTGCTCCGATGAGAGCTGAAGGTTCTTCTGGAGATCGTCGATCACGATCAACAAACGGTCAAATAGATGGAAGACCAAATCGTGTCAAAATTGCAAAGTTAAGGACTTAATTGGTTGAAATTGAAATGCAATGACCAATTTGTGAATTTAGCTATAGTCGAGGGATCATTTTGAGTATTTACTCTTGAAATAAACATTAATACTCCCTAATTGGTAATACCGGGTAGATCTCTTGGGTCACCCATTCAATTCTCGCAATATTTGAGATTGTATGTACCTTCCATCACCAATATAAGGTTTATATATACCTCGAAATTCGTTGTATATAATTTTTTTAATATATATTTTTTAATTTAAAAATTATTACACAATAATAAAGTTTATTTCAAGCATATCTTCAAATAATAATATAGGAGTCATTTATCAAAATGGAAAAATTGAAATTTTTTTGAAAAAATAGAGAATTGGATGAGTAGAAGAATGAAAAATGAAAAATTTGTTAACTAAAATCAATTCTCAAATATAATTTTCCATCTCCATTCTTCCATTTCTTTAAAATTTTAGAGAAAGGAAATTCCATGTTCTCCATTTGGAGAATTGGCAAATAACTCATGCCTTGCACTGGCTCCTCTTCTTTAGTTTTCTCTTATTATTTGGCGCCTCTTCTTCAGTTTTTCTACTTCACTTATTATTATTATTATTATTATTATTATTATTATTATTATTATTATTATTATTATTATTATGTTTATTTTTTTCTTTTTCCTTTTCTCCTGTTGTTGTTGTTATTATTATTATTATTATTATTATTATTATTATTATTATTTACAAATGTTATATAAGATGATTGTATTTAATAAAATCAGAAAATTAGAGAAATGATGATGATGATGATTATTATTATTATTATTATTATTATTATTATTATTATTATTATTTTTGTTGTAGAAATGTACACATGCTATTTGAGATGATTGTATGTAATAAAATCATAAAATTAGAGAAATTAAAAACTAGATGAATGGGAAATGAAAATTAGAAAATTAGAGAAATGGAAAACTGGGGGAATAGAGAAGGAAAAATAGAAAACGGAAAAATAGAAAAATAAAAAACTGGAAATGAAAAAACAGAGAAATGAAGTAAACGACCCCATAAATTTTTCACGTCGTGAAAGAAAATAGAGCTAAGAGGTTGAATAGTGTGGCTTATTTATTCTACTATACATGCATGTGTCTTATCTGTGTCTATATATATGTATGTGCTTTTACTTTAATGTTTCATTTCATCGTATTAAATGATTACAAAGTACTATCATATAATTTATTTTGTCATATTATCTATCATGACGTCATTGCATAAATTGCCTTTAGAGTAATCACATTAATGAGAAAATATCATTTTTAGTCCTTTGATTATATATAATACATGTATCAATTTTAGTTCTTGACTATTAAAATTTTTGAATTAGGTGAAGGACACCATTATTCTAGACACGCGTTTTTGACCTGGATCACTTGTAGGGTGAACCTGGTCCATAGCATAATTTTCCCTAACAGTCAAGTATATAAACAAGAAGACGAGAGCGAAATAACATGAAGACGATTCAAAATAATGGCAGAGTCTTCTCCTTCGCCAGCGTCTTCGTCGGCGCCCCCACCATCGCGGAGTCCGATGCAGAATCTCTTCATGGGCGAGACTCTCCCTCCAGACTTGTTCTGTAATAACGATCCGCACCCATTTTCTCAGACAATGGAGGAGGAGGCAAGAGAAAATTCCGATTTTAGTTTCGGGTGCACACCCCCGCGTATACACCGTTACTAATCATTCTGTAGGGCTTCAGCTCAGAGATTCTATTGGGTAGGTATTTAACCATTCTCGACTGTCAAATAATTACTATATCTACTGATGGCTGAAACATCAACATTTGCTAGGTTGGATTCAGCCCTGACATTTTGTTGGATTCTCCTTGCCATGTTATTTAACAAAACTTCCATTTCTTTTTTCACTATGTATCTATAGTAGTTGCAAAAGTCACGCTTAGCCTCCTGTCAGTCACCTAGCGTATCACTATAATAAATGGTTGCTTTATCATACATGACCAATCGCCTTAATTTAGATATATGACCATTGCCCAAAATTGTATATATAAGCCTCAAGGAAAATCAATAAACACGAGGAAATAGTATTTTAATTCTTACATGGTATCTTCATCTGGTAAACACTATTATTCTTAAAATATTGTAAATTACTGCCTTAATTTAGGCATCTGATGGTTGCCCAAAATTGTATATATGAGTCCCAAGGCAAATCAATAAATACGGGAAAACAATATATCTTACATGAATGTATCATCAACAAACCCGTGCTCCATTTACAGCTCAACGAGGCATTCAATCTGACCATCAATCTTCTAATGTTTCACATTCTAATAATAATGTATCAGAACCTTGTTCTTTTCTTGTTGACAAGCATGGTGATGATGGTTATAACTAGAGAAAGTATAGGCAGAAACCAATCAAGGGGAGTTAACCAGAAGTTATTACAAGTGTACTCATCCAAACTGTCCCGTGAGGAAGAAGGTTGAGCGTTCTCTTCATGGCCAGATAATCGGGATTACATACAATGGAAAGCATAACCATTAGCCACCTCGACCCTGAATGGGGGAAAGATATGGAAGCCAAAATAGCCTCCAAGATAGCTCTGAACTGAATCTCGTTGATAGCGTTTCATTTCAATCTCGTAATGCATAAGCAAGAATGGATGGAGAGATGATGATGATGAACATTAATCAAACCTAGGTCTGTCTCATTTCCCTTAAGACAACATAATGTAGTGGTTTGATGTATTTATGTGGTACATTCATATTGCTGTAGGGTCATAAAAGTGTAGATCCCGGAGGTAGTAACATCATACTGTATAGTTACAAAACCAAAGTTCGTCATTCAGATTGTAACTCTCATAATCTACCACACATGAACTAACTAAGTTACCTGTGCGGATAACATGTATACTGATAATGCAGTTAAGAGATTATCTTTCCATTTTGTTTATGTTTGTTTTTTATCCTACAGGGTCAGTTTCGAACGATTAAAATATAGAAGTTAGATAAATATGTAATCAGTATTATTCTTAGGATATTGTTAATTACTGTCTTAATTTAGACATATAATTGTTGTCCAAAATTATATATACAAGCCTCAAAGAAAAATCAATAAACACGGGGAAACAGTATTTTTTACATAGTATCAGAGCAGTTCAATCCTTCATCTCATAAACAATATTATTCTTAAAATATTGTAAATTTTTACCTTAATTTAGGCATATGACCGTTGTCCAAAATTGTGTATATGAACCTCAAGACAAATCTATAAAAATGAAGAAACAATATTTTTTACATGGTATCAGAGAAACCTAGGTTATTCTTTTTAACTTTACTCTACGTTTTCTTTATTTCTTCCTCCATGCTCTGCCTTATACATCAATGGCGGACAATACAATTGTTACTTAACTTTCAAAACCTTACACTTTAATTTTAACCCTTTATATTTTGTACTAGGTTTTGAGTTTATTTGTATTATGTTAGATTATGTGTTTTATGTTAGGAGTTTGTGTATTCTACAATACAATTATATATTTTTTTAATCATACAGGACCATCTTTCTTCATCTTTGGCTCCACCCCTGCCTGCACCGCAACCTTGATGGATATGATTGGAAAAGGTATGGGGAGTACACACTGAATGGACTGAAATAAAGAATTTATTTCATGTATGCTTATAATAGCTGAACTCCAGCGAAGAAGAAGGTTAACTGTTCTAATATATAGCCAGATAGTTTATAGTTTAAATAAATATTAATAATTGGTAATATTATCTCTTGTGTTAGGTTGACAAGCTTATTTAGGAGTTTATAGTTCATTTTAAACTAGTAGCTTAAAATAAGAGTTTATTTTGAAATGTTACCTTAGGTAGCGTTTCAAAAATAAGCAAGTAGCTTCCTAACCTTTTTTTCATCTTTTATCTTTATTATTTTAAATAAAATGACACCATTTACTTCTCCCAATTAAAACTCTTTTGACCATTTCCCAAAATTGTATAGATAAACCTCAAGGCAAATCTAAAAAAATGGAGAAACAATATTTTTTACATGGTATCAGAGCAACTTAAGTTATTCTTTTTAACTTCAGTCTATGCTTTCTTTCTGTCTTTCTCCATGCTCTGCCTTATACATCAATGGCGGACAATACAATTGTTACTTGACTTTCAAAGCTATTCACTTTTAACCATTTGTTGACCACATTTTGTACTAGGTTTAGAGTTTATATGTATTAATGTAGGAGTTTATGTGTATTCTACTATACAATTATATTTCCTTTTGATCATATAGGAGTATCTTTCTTCATCTTCGACTCCACTTCAGCCTGCACCCCAGCCTGTTGGATAATGATGGATATGATTGGAAATGGTATGGCAAGTACACATTGA